TAGGACGCAATGGAGAAAAAGGATTCATGTAGACAAGCTCACTTAGTGAGATAAAGACTTGTTGTTGTTGTATGATCGTGTATATTATAAAAGCTTTGCACCCAAAATTTGGAGCAAACCCTACCCCCTCTCTGTTGAAATCCTAATATACTGAGATAATATTGCACAATATTCTACCTAATCTCAAATAATAATAACAAAACTGTTGACAGCAGGTAGCAGTTTAAGAAAGGAAGATTTACAAACATACTACTCAATTCCTACGTATTTACATGTATAAAACCTAAACTTTAACTTTTACGTACATACCAACTTACCTATCCATGGAAAGATGTACAAACTTTTTTAAAGTTAAGACGGTGGTATTTTTGCGAGATATAAAATATTTGGGTGGTTTAAATGTAAAAAAAAATAACTGAGGTGATATACATATGTAAATAAATAGGAATTGGGTGGTATGTATGTAAGTTCCCCTTAAATTTTGATATTTGAGCGAGAATTTGAAAAATGGATGAAAGAGGGTGCTAGATTTTTGAATAGAAATGTCTATGTATGTAAATGCCTCGATGATTTATTGGCAGTTGAAGCTTTCCAGGTCAATCTATCACATCAAAACACAACAATTTTAACTTTTAAAATGTGAATGCATGAGAAAGATGGCATATATCTAAAAATTGAAGTTTAGGTGTTACATATATAAACACATAAGAATTGAGTGCTATGCATGTAAATCTTCCAAATTTTAAATACAACTAAAGCCGTGTAAAGGTTGTCGTGTTAATTGGTTAATTTCCTAATTTGACACCACAAGGAAACATGGTTTTCAAAATTTTGGCTGGCAGCTCTGATATCATTGGAACAAATGCTCCAAATTGCAGTGAGATCTCCTAGTTCTTTAAACATCTAAAAATATAAACAACCAGATATATATAAAGCCGGGCAAAATTTTTAGCTTAAACCTTTATGATGATACTAAAAAAGTGTTATTCAATCTGTTATACTTAAAAAAACATATTTTAACCTACTTTCTTGTCCTTTTTTAATTTATTTTGCACAATCATTCATGCAAGAAAAGGTTTGATTGCTAGAATTATTTTGATGTCACGAGTTAAATAAAGAAATTAGCGATTAAGCATATATAATTAAATGTTTAGAAACAGCTACATATCATTTTTAACATAATAAACACAGGTATCATGTGGTGCAAAATTGGAGCCAGATTTCAGAAATGGAATGCAAGCCACAACTAGGAAAAATTACTGCGTGTGGAGAGCGCACGCAGAGCTGCGTGCCACCCCCGCACGTATAGCACAGCAACCCAAGACTGATGTGCGGCTGCGATCCGAGAGCGCATGCAGCTCTGCGTGCCCTCTCCGTGCGCAATAAGAGCTCCACAACTAAGGGTGTAAACGAGCTGAACACGAGCAAGCTCAAGCCCAACTCGTGTTCGGCTTGGCTCGTTTAAAAATATCACTGTTCATGTTCAACTCGTTTATATTTCGAACACAAAAAGTTTGTTCGTATTCGGCCCGTTTGCTTAACGAACTGAACATGAGCTATTTGTGAACAAAGACTCATTTTGGCAATCCTAATCACACAGCCGTAGGATGTTAAAAGTTGGGGCAAGATTAAACTTATTATTTATATTAAAACATAATTTAAATAAAATTTAATATACTTTTATTCTATAAAATAAAATAAATAATTTTTAAAATATTGGATTCTAATGCTCACTATAATATATATATATATATATTACAAATATATATAATTGATGAGTTGTATTTCGAGCCAAAATAAGCTGAACACGAACAAACAAATCTTTGTTCGTGTTCAGCTTGTTTATATATAGAGCAAAAAAAAAAAAAGTTTGTGTTCGGCTCGTTAACTTAGCAAATGAATCGAACACGAGCTTCTTAACGAGCCGAACGCGAGCTGTTCGCGAACAAAGAGCCCTAGCCACAACTTCAGTATAATCTAGAATAGAGACTAACGAGTAATCATACCTTTATTTCAGCATCCGAATATGGTGTTGCCCTTAATCTGCAGAAAGAATAGAGCGAATACTTGTTCAGTAAACAAATTGTGTGCAATATATATTCTAGTATAACATTAACTACATCAGATTTAATAAAAAATTTAACAAAGAAAATCCCATAACAATAAGGAAAATACCAAATCCATATAAATTATAGATTTCTGATCAGCAAAACACTTTATCAAAATAAATTGGTGAAGAATTTGTACAAAAACTAGGCTTCAACCTTAAAGCGCTTACAATCGAGTCAGAAGCTACTCAATTTATACTATGTTGTAATTACACCAATTAATTTCTTTTCACGCTGATTACAATCGGGCAGCAGTACATAATTACAGAAATATAGCCATATAAATAATTGTTTGTGCTTCAACATTGATAAACAGTAAACTGTTCCTCTAGGCTTAACTGTTTTTTTTTTAAGGTTCTTTCTCTTTTTTGGGCAGGGTGAGCGCTTGAACACGCCACCTTAGATTTCTAAACTTTGTTTCCAATCATTAAGCTATGCATTCGAGCATGCTTTTTCAAGGGTCTGACTCCTTGAACACTCCTTAATTTTAAAAACCACATTGGTTTTAGTGCAATTTACCCAGAATGATTTTGAATGGACATAAATCAGTTTAGTTAAAAGTCTCTTTTTCAAATGCCGTGTAAAAAATTTTAACTGAAATAAAATTTAATTCCTAAACTTAAATCTATTGTTCGCACTCACTTCCAAAAATTTCTATCCATATTACAATTGGTCCAATCATTTTCATTCCTAACTCTAGACACTAATTTTATCAAACTGTAATGGGTGCATTTTCTACTCTAAGTAGTATAAATCCATTTTTTAATTATCATGCTTTCAATAGCTATCACTCCAACCATTCATGTAAAAGATCATTCATTAATTTGGCCAACCAAATTTTGGTACATGCATCTCAACTTTAGTATTTCCATCAATAACAACTATTATATATTGCATATTTAAACATCCTTCTAGAATCCATTTATAATTTTTGCAAAAAGACTTTTCATTCCTTCCTGTAAATAATAAATTTATTTATGATAATTGGCTCAATTTTTTAAGTAAATAAATGTTCTAGTTTTTAAAGTATGTGTTTCTTCTTGCAAAATTATAGGCAACTACAAAATCAATATAGCTTATCTATCATCTACGCACAACCATGAATCATCTCATAGCTAATGCTATTAAACAACATGAACATCCAAGTCAATTCTAATGAATATCCTTTCTTTCTCATCTCCTCATTGTATTAGTTAATCCATCTCTTATCATAACACGTTTTTCTAACCATCATTTGATCCAACATAGAAGCATAAACACTAATGACTTTTTTTAACCATCATTTGATCTAATGAATATCCTTTCTTTCTCTTATCCTCATTAATAATTGTCTAATGAATCTTCATTTTCTAACCATCATTTGATCGAATGAATATCCTTTCTTTCTCTTATCCTCATTAATAATTGTCATCCTGGCAATAAAAAATCATAGCGCTACTCACTTTTTTTAATCTAAATTAAATAGCCACTGCTATCCTAGCCCCATTCCAATTATTAACCTTTCCAAAATACAATAAGTTTCAATTTAATTTCTTGTAAACAATATTATAATTCCGCTAATCATGATGTTTATATATATATATATATATATATATATATATATATATATATAGATGTACATGTATATACATATCCATGCTAAGCTGGTGACCATTGCATCAAACAACAAACTTTCCCAATTACAGATTATTTGAACTGAACCATCAAAACAAAGGGAAATAAAAGAAGATAAGTTGCATGGGAGAACCTGTCAAGACCCAAAACAGAATAATGATGAGACATAGTAAAATTATCAGTTTCCCAAGGGCTAGATCGAAAATTTGTCCTTTGATCTCCATAATATGCATCTGAAGTCCAGTACCAATCATCTTGTTGGAAATGCTGATAAGCACCAGGACCATAGTCCCTCCAATTTTCATAGCTCCTCTTATATTTCTTTTTCTCTCGATTGAATATTCTTTGCATCCTCCTGATACGTTCCTTTGAAAAGATGAAAAGCCACCGAATATTATGTTAATAAAGAAGGAATGGTAGAAAAAATAGTGAAAAACAAGTGATTCTATAACCTTTCTTTCTGAAAATAAATCAAAGAAAACTATTGAAAAATATAATCAAGCAGGCAATACAACTCCAGGAATCATAGAATTTTTTAGTCATTATCATCATTGGCATCATTCTAATTGTTTGAGGCTTGTTTTATAGATCATTATTCCACATTTTGATTGAGTACTACATGCAAATCCTTTTCCACATTTCTATCACCCAACTCATTGGTGTATCTTCCACCCTTAGTTATACATTGCCAAACCATTAATGTCTCATCTAACATCTTATCAATGCTACTCCCTCAATCTCATTAATTTGAGTATTTCTCACTCTATAACTCTTGATTTTTAATAAACTTCACATAACTTGGGCAAATTTTCTTCTTCATTTCCTCTAATTAAAAAAAAAGAAAAAGAAAAAGGAAATTCTCCCGTATATTATAATAAGTAGGCTTATAATAAGAAAATAAAAGTAAAAAAAGGCTAACAATTCAAAAATGGCACTGAATAATTTTTTTAATCAACAATTCCTTTTTGGGTACTAACCAATTGAAAATAGTTTCATAAATCTATACATGAATAGGATTGTTCTTTAATTGCTAAAAGGACAGAACCCTCCCCACTAACTTTCACAAAAATTCTATAACCTATGCATTGCATACACACATACATATATCTTTAATTAATTTTTTACTAATAATATACATAAAATGCGCTAAACATTCATGGACAACCAAGTTTTTTAAGTTTTGTGGCTGTATGCTATCAAACACATAAATCATTTTTCATGTAATCAGAGCAAATAATTCAATAAATTTTCGATACATTTAATGTCCATAGACTTGATTTGTTGTTTGTTTTTATGTATTTAGATCAATAATAAAGCAGCTAGCACAAACATAACTTCTTAGCTGGCCAACGAAATTTAAGATCATTAGTGTTTAGATTAATAGAGTCAAACAGGGCCTCAACTCATTCATATTCACTCATTTCCACCTTTAAATATGAGGTTTTTCTAATCGAGGGTTTACAATGACCATAGTCCTGCCATAAAATAGTCAAACAAACAAAATAATTGGAAGAACACTAAAGAACAACAAATTCAAGAGAGTATACTTACTATTCTCTCCATTTTCTCCTTATGCTCCTCATTCATTCTGCAGTAATATCTTCTCCAAGCTTCTTCCTGGAACCTTCTACTTGAACCAGCTCTAGCATTTCTCCAAGTTGACTGGGGCTCTGACCTGTTCAGCTTTCAGAACAAAAAAATAGAATAAGGGGGGTTAATTTTGTTACAAGAAACATGATAACTCCAACAAAAAGTACATTACACTATCAACTAAGAAACTTATATATTATATATTGCAGCCTGCATTTGGAAAATTATAGAGCTTCAAAATTTTTCATTCAAATTGTAATATCAGTTTTGTAATAGTATAAGCCAAATCTGAATAAGCAACATCCGCTTGTTCATGGTCCTATGCATTGAGACTGAGTCATATTGAAATAACAACATCCACCCATGCTCACTCACATGTATGAGAGAGAGAGAGAGATTAAAAATGTATTTATTTACAGAGGACTGTGCTAATGAATTCATACATTTTTATAGATTGGTTCACATATCACTGGTGCGATGAAATAGTCATACAAAATTTTTTAATTGACTAAGAAAATACACCATAATACTCGGCTCATAAACTAAGAACACTCTTATATCTGAGTCCGCCACTCCATCTCCTTCATTTTCTTTCTTTATATGAAAATTGCCCAAAATATAAGAATATAAAATAATTAATCCATTTTTCAGGAGTTAATGACTTAAAGCAACATGCCGTTTAACATTAGCAGTAAAAGAAAATAAGGAATGGAGCAGAATCACAAGTCAAATTACCTCAGTATAAATCCAGCTAACACTCCTGCGGAGCTGATAGACCTGCACAAATTCCATTGATATGAATTGGGAGAAAAATTTTACAGTAAACATACATATTTAATCAAATTTTCTATAGTTTTTTTTTTTCAAAATAACATAATTCAAACAATTTAAGTTAAATTAAACATGAAACTGAAAGCATTCACTTGCCACTGGATTTCAACAACTACCATGAGCAACATAGCTAATGAAACTTAATTGTCCTCTAGAATGAGCTATCCGGTGAGGAAATTAGCGCATTTAGCATAACTAGTATTTTCCGAGTTCAGAAAGATCATGCACCCAATCTTCATAGATGAAACCATTAAAAAACCTGAAACTAAATCTTAGGAATGCTCTATAGCGTCAAAAATCCATAAAATAATTCCGGCACATAGACTAGTGATCTCCCCCTCTTCCAAAATTTCTGAAGCCCTGTGAAACATCCTGAGCCTCACGCATAAACGCCCATTCAGATACAATCACACATAATTCCGAATCGCAGAAACCAACGGCAAATAATCGCTCAGATAAAACAAAAAAAAACAAAAAACAAAAAACACAAAAAACGCATATCTGTAAATGGAATGAAGATGCAAATAGAGCAGGGGATACCGCGGCTGTAGTTATAGTCGCGCCGATCAAGCCGAAGATTAGGGCACCCCAAGCTGGAGAAACGTGATCTCCTTCCTTCCAGCGATTGCCGCTGGCTTTCTTTTCCACGGGATTCATCAGCTTCTATCTCTTCGTCTAATCGACCAAATGTTTAATCAATTGCCACTCCCATAGTCTGAAATCGGAGCTTTTCCTCATCGCTCGATCAAAACTGTATACCGAATTCAAAGAAAATCAAAATTCTCGCCTTCGGTTTCGAAGCTCACGAGCTCTATATAACTTATCTTGCCCCTCATTCTGCACGATACGACAATATTATACGTTGTTCTACTTCTCAGCTTCTTTATGGTTGACAAGTTGGACTGAACCCTAAAAGCACACAAATTTAGCTTTATCGATCCTATAACTTTAATAGCTCTAACTTTAATTCCATGCTAACATCTTATCTTGTAAATAATTACTTTTCCCTTTCTAAAATCATTATGGCTTCTTCAATACCTAAATAATTGTAATCATTTTGAGGTTTTCTTTGTAGTGTATTCATTCCATTAGGGGTGTAAATGAGTCGAGATTGAGCGGGCTGAACTTATGTTTGAATCAGTTATATTTTTGCTATTTGAAATTTGCTTGTGTTTGAAATGACCCATTGGCAGTTTGTCTGTGTTTGACTTAAAAGAATATTTATGTTTTATTTTCACTCGTATTCTGCTCGAAACTTGTGTAAATTAATGATAAGATATTGGATAATTTAAAATTAGATAAACATATATAACATATTATAATATAAATAACTTACTTATTTCCTTTATAATTCCAGTTTGAAAAATTTGTTGGTATTCCACTCATTTACTTTGGGAACGATTAAATGTCAAATTCCTTAACGAGTTGAATATAAGCTGTTCGCGAATGAGTTTTATTTGACAGCCCTACATCCCAATAAATAATTATGTTTATTTTAGTTCATTATGTTTTTTTCCCATATTAGTTAAACTATTATTTGTAAATCAACATATTGATATGGTATAATCTCTTCTTATTTATTAATTTCAATAAATAAATGTTTTGTTATTCATTCATATCATATTGCTCTACTGCTAGAAAGCTTATTCTAGTGTTATATGTTTCCTTGTTTAATTAGCCTCAATTATTGACAAATTAATTCAAAAAATATATCACTTATATATAGTAGTATTATGTGTACAATATAAAAAAATTCCTTAGAAATAAGCATGAATCAGGCATTCTTTGCCGAGCAAGGACCACAAGCTTAATTAGTCAACAACATGAAATTCTAGAACACAATAATACTATAGGGGCATTTACATACCTACCAACCAATTACTGTGTATTTACATATCTAACAACAAAATTTCTTTATATATATACCAGGGTGTAAACGAGCCGAACACGAGCGAGCCCAGGCACAGCTCGTGTTCGGCTATTACATATTTCGAGCTCAAAAAAGTGTGCTTGTGCTCGGCTCGTTTGCTTAACGAGCCGAACACGAGCCGTTCACGAACAAAGAGCCATTTTAACAACCCTAATCATGTAGCCATAAGATGTTAAGGATTCAGACAATATTTAAAAATTATTATTTATATTAAAACATCATTTGAATCTAATTTAATAATTTTTATTCTATTTTCTTAATTAATACTTTTAATTGATTATAAATCTTTCTAGCCTTGTAGTTAATTAATTTTCTTTAAAAATACTATTCATCAAATATATATATATATAATTGATTAGTTGTATTTCGAACCAAATCGAACCGAACACGAACAAACCAATATTTGTTCGTGTTCGGCTCGTGAACTTAGCGAACTAGCCGAACACGAGCTGTTCGAAAACAACAAGCTGCTTTGACAGTCCTATATATATATATATATTCATATCACTCAAATCTTTCATACCAATCTAGTACTATTTAAACTTAAAAAAAAAAAAGATTAAAATACATTTTTTTTCATGCATAAATAAGATGAAATATATGTAAATTTTGAAATTGATGTGATAGAAATGTAAATATATAAAATACGATAGATACATGAAATAATAAGAGGACCCGAACTCTTCAAACTTGATAGCCCTAGTGCACGTGGATAGCCTTGAAGGACCACATACCCTTTCGGCAAGTAAAATTAAATAAGACCAGAGATTATCTTATTGCTTAATTTCTAACTTAAATTATAATTTAAGTTATCTAAAATTAACAACATATTATTATAAATATTGTATTTGAATATTCCATCCAAATCTTATAAATCATTCAAAGAAATGTTACAATACACATAAAGAAAAATTGGCTAAAGTATTTTCTAACTTACTTCAGATCAATATCACTGTAAAATTCTTCCTTCCGGACGAAGATCAAGGATTTAGAATTCTTTCCAAGATTAGGATGACCAAATTTAAAAAAATTAAGAAAAAAACCACTAATCAAATATTTCTAATTAGTAATTGTCGTTCCTTTTCAACATGGATAAATTGATATAAATATAAAAATTAAAGGTTTGGTTTTACATACTTATGTAAATCTTCCATGCTTTAATAATTTTTTTTAAAAAAAAAACATGAACTTTTTAGTTAAAATCTTGAGTTGAATGGGCCAAAGTTGATCCAAATTATAGCCCGCATGAAGTGGAATGCTGGACCTATTATTCTAGCCGTATCATCATGTTTACTAGTTCGCTCGGATGTTAATGTCAGTTAAAAGCTTCCACATATAAAGAAAGTTCCAATTTATTAGGAATAAACTCATAAGTTATGTTATCTCATCCTTAAATCTCTCTCTCTATCTCTCTCTAAGCAGCTTCCTATAAATAAATCATGAGAAATGTCATCATAAGCCCCAAAAAGAGGATATTTCAAGAGAAAATAAACAGATTAGAGGTAAAAATTTACAAAAGAAATTAGTTGTTCAGTATTTCTAATTGATCACATTTCTCATCAACTACAATCTTTTAGGCTCAATTTAGCCAAACCTCCAAATCGACGAGCTGGTCTTCCACACAAAGTAACGTTGGTCTATATTCCTAGAAAAGCTGAAACTTCACTGAAAATTAATGGCATCAACATCCCTATCAACAAGCAGGCTCACATCGTTCTTCAATCACGTCCGATTGACAAGAATTGGTTATGAATTAGAGGGAGTTTTTGAAAGTACAGATCGAGTTTGTGTTTGGCAATGATCTTTGCTTTGAGGTTTGGATCCATGGAGAGAAAAAATTACAAGGGATTTTTGTACGGGATGTGAGATGGCAACTTAACTGTAAGGAATTGGTCTGTTGGAATGGGCAGAGGTAAGTATAGTGACAAAACAATGATTTATTATGAGAGAGCCGGTGAAACTGAGAATGAAACAATTTTTATCCAAAGTTGCCTGTAATAATTGAAGAAGATGAGGCGGAGGAAAAAAAATAAAGAAGATGAGAAGGAAGAATTTTATGATTCTGATTCTGTTAAGGAAAAAAAATGAATGAACAAGAAGATAGAGTGAGGAAGAAAGTTAATAGTTTAGTGGCAAATATGGGAGCTTTTGTGGCGTGCATAGGAGTTGGGCTACTTTTTTTTAGGAATTCTTTGAAGAAATTACTCATACTTAAGTTGTTTTGAGAAAAAAAAATATATATATATATATATATGTATGTATGTATGTGTGTATGTATATGTGTGTGTGTGTATGTATATAATTAGGTTGATTCCTCTATTCTTTTTTTTGGCGAGAAGTAACATCCTTTGTGTATCGATATCTGTAAGCATTTCTATTATAAATTAATATTTGTCATTTATTTTTCTCTAGTTATTATTCTATTGTCGCATTATTTACTCTTCATTTCTCATCCAATTTAATTTAACATGTCTTTCAAATTTTTTGTTGTGTCTAATTGAAATAAGGACAAAACAATTGGCTATTTTTTCTTGGAGTTATAATGTTTGGAAATAGTACAATATATAAAATATGTAAAAACATATTTATATTCCTCTCTATACACAAATTTGAGTGCATTGGATCTTATGCTCAAAAAATTCTCTTTCTCATTTCTCTTCATATGATAGAGAAAAAATAAGAAAAATAAATTTAGAGTTTAACTAAATTTTTAACTATTTTTCTTAATTATTTTCATAAATATATTTTTTTTCCCACTCATTACTCCAAAGAAATATTTATGTTTGGCATATTGAAAAAGAGAGGGTGAGAGATGCAGCTTAATAACTTAAATAATGTATATAACAAAAGTTTTCAAGGCTATAAGTGGGATAATATGGCATTACATTTTAACAAAATTATTTTGGTGCTTAGAAAGATGATAAATAAATAAATTTATTTATTTGTGCTAGAAATTAAATTCTAGAAAAATGTAAACAAATGCCAAATTAGCTAAAAAAAATAAATATAATAATAATAATAATAATAATAATAATAATAATAAAATTTATAACTTTTCTCAGTCTAATTCCCATTCTTGTTGCATGGTAAACTTTTATGATTTACTTTATACTATTTTATTTTTCAATCATTATTAGTGTTGAATTCAAAAACATCCATGAAACACACTCAAGAAATAGAACGAAACACTAACAAGGAAGAAGAAACATTAAAGAACTGTGAAAATGCATAACCTTTTGTTATGAAATGACACATTTATAGACAAAGGGACATGAGTGCTACAATTACATATTTTCTCTCTAATTATTACCTTCTAAGGGGACATATTCGTAAATTATGGGGAAAATAAAATAAGATATCAAATGTGATTGGGAAAATAAAATAAGATATCAAATGTGATTGGTCAACTAATTTTGAGTCTCGCGATCATTTAGCCTAGCTGTTCGATAGTCTTAGGGTTGTGCATCGGTCATCGATCGATGATGGTGTTGATACTCGATTGAACGCCTTAAGTTATGCGGACCATCTGGGGTGTCATCAAATGACCTCAAACCTTTAGGTTGCCATCCGATCAGATGATTCCATGTGTGGCCCCTCGGTCAATCCTCCATCGATCATCTACTCCTCTTTGATTGTGATATTTTCTGAGATCCATGTTGTGTTGCTAGTCGATCGCTTGTTCGTCCAACGATCATCCTATGTCGTGGCTGTTGGATTGCTTTGAGATTCGGGTCATCATATTTTGAGTATATATATTTTATTCTCCAATTTTCGTACCTCTCCAAAGCTACGTAGAGCATAAGATCAAGGGAATCTTTTTATTGATACAAAAATGTAAATACAAATTTGAATGACAAAATTGCTTAATTACTGACTCCCCTAGATTTCCGTGACCAGGTTACTATAAAGAAGCCATGGAGTAGCGGAGGCTTGCGTGTGCTTTTCTCCTTCTTTCCTTGTTTTGATCCCATCTTTCCTCCGTCGTAGTTCATCATAATGATTGGCGAGAGAGCTTCGGTTGGTGACAAAGATGCGCTTCTTAAGGCTCTTTGAGGCATGTGGGCTAAAGCCCTAAAACTAGACGTGAAGCGAGTACCAGTTGAGGAAGCTCTTGTGAGAGAAACAATTGTGAAAAGATCAAAGGCTGACGATTCCTAGGATCATATCGGGTCCTCTGATTCCCTTGTAGGCTCGTTACAAGAACGAGTTCCGGAGCGGATGGATGATTGGTCTAGCAATTTTCAATAAGTCCTCAAGATGGTGTGAATAAGGTGACGACCGAGGTAGAATTCTCGCTCCAGCTGCCGAAGGATGACCTTTCCTTTGCGGGTGGAGAGCCAGAAAGAACTGGTGAGGGTGCTAGCTATTTCACCACATATGAATGGAACTAGATTGTGGCTATGAGTTTTTAAATCGTTTGCCTTGAATATTTAAATTTTTTACAGATCAAAATGAAAAAAAAACATTAAGTCGTATGTGGATTATATTTTGGTTAAGAGTCAGTCGGTTGAACAACATGTTAACGACCTAAAAAAATATTTTCAAACACAGAAATTTTAATATGGGGCCAAGTCCATTAAAATGGAAGTTTGGAGCTTGGACATACAAATTCCTCCGACACCTCCTCACGCCCGAAGGTATAAAGGCCAACTCAACGAAGTTATAAACACTATTTAATATACTTCTCCCTGAAATGCTAAGGAGGTGCAAAAGTTGACCAACCGAATAACGACACTCAGCTAATTCATCTTGAAGTCAGGCAAAAAATATGCAGTGTTCTCCAAAATGCTAAGGAAATCCAAGAGCTTCGAATGATCAACTTAATTTGATCAAGCATTACAGAGCCTAAGGCAATCACTAGCCTCAACATCACTACTACAAAATCCAAAACTGAAAGAAAAACTCACTCTTTATTTGGGAGTTGGGCTCAATGCTATCAGCTCAGCCTTGGTCCGGAGGAGCTGGGAAAGTAATTCCTAATCTACAACTCTAGTCGGGTCCTCAGAGGCGCCGAAATTAGGTGCTCCATCATGGAAAAACTACTGATTGCTCTAATTATCTATGCTTGCAAGCTCCGACCATATTTCTAGACACATCCAATCAGGGTCATCACTGACCACCCCCTAAAATCTGTACTCACTACTTCCAGCCAACTCCTAAAGTTGGTCGTGGAACTCAACAAATGTGATGTCACATACATCCCCTAGATGACAATTAAAGCTCAAGTGCTCGCAAACGTTTTGGTGGAATTCACTAAAAAAGGAAAATCGAGTAAAGGAATTAACACTGACGGCTGAACTTTGATATTGTACATCGATGAAGCCTCAAGTCAAGAGGGCTAGAATCAAATTAGAACCTAGCAGTCCAACCATAGAGAATTTTTTTTTATTTGGCCATCCTCAAATTTAAAGTCACCAATAACCAAACAAAGTATGAAGCATCGATAATTGGCCTACGGCTAACATACAACATGGGAGTCTAGCATCTCCTAGTGAATTTAGATTATCAACTGATGGTAAATCAAGGCAACAGATACTTCAAGGTGAGAGACAAAATGATGGCCAAATAGTTAAACAAGGCAAATACAGAGATATGAAAGTTTACAGACTTCAAAATCGAGCACGTCAGTAGGGAGAATTATTTAAAAGAAGAGATCTCTCATTAGCTTCTCCAACTTGCCATTGAGGAACCCGAGAAAATGTAGGCAAAAGTGGAGAAGACAGAGTTCGATGGATCTTTACATCCAATATCTAGAAACCGAAAAGATTTATGAGGAAATCACTGATCCAAGAAAATTTAAGTTCAAAACAGGACAATATCTCATGATTAAAGGGAAAATTTTCCAAAGGTTAACCACCTCACTCTTCTTGAGATGCATATAGAAAAACAAGGATGAAGAAATTCTGTGGGAGGTACACTTTGGTGAATGTGAGAGTCACTATAGAGGGAAAATCTTGGGATCAATGCTTAGGCTACTTCTGGCCGACCCTCATGAAGGATGTAGTGGAGTTTTCCAAAATATGCAAGCAATGCCAGAAGTATGATTCTTTGCAGTAGTAGCCGACCCATAAACTACAATCGATTGCAAGTCCCTAGTCTTTTTCCAATTAGGACCTTGACATTCTTGGGCCATTTACTCCTTTAAAAGAACAACACAAATTCTGTCATCGTGTAATAATTTTCAAAGTAGATTGAAGCAAAGACACTAACACGGATTACAGTGGAGGTCATCCAAAACTTCATCTAGATGGACATCTTCTATCGGTATGGCTTTCCATAGCACTTTAGCAGTGACAACAAGGCACAATTCATTGACCAGGCAGTAAGGGACTTTTTCCAAGGGAATTAACAAAAAGTTCACCTTTTTACATCATCCCTATACTAATGAACAAATGAAGGTTGCTAGCAAAATAATTATGCATTTATTATGGGAAAAAAAACAAAGGAGCAAAAAGAAATTAAGTGAACTTATTTCTGTCAGTCCTTTGGGTAAACTGAACGACGCCATCATCGACGACTGGACAAAATCCTCACATGCTATCCCATGGGATTGAAGCAATGTTGTCAATGGAGTATAACCACCATAGCTAGAGGGCCATTGCAACCTCCACATTTTACGAGGAGAACCTCACCGATAGGTATGAGGAAAACGATGAAAGAATGATGCTTAAAATTGAACCAATTTTGCACTTCGATAGGAAGAAGTAAAACAGAGGATTGCTTGATACTACTAAAAAAATATGCAAGAGAAGATGTTTGCACCCGGTGAACTAGTCCTTAAAAAAGCTGATCCAAAATTCGAGGGCCAGCAGTCGATAAACTCAACTAAAATTGAGCCGACCTATTTAATTTTGAATAAAGAGTCGCCTCAGTAGCATATGAATTGAAAACATACACGAAGAAAAAAGTTCCCCAGACATGAATCAAAACTGTCTACAGAATTCAAGGAAAATCAAAATTCTTGCCTTTGGTTTCGATGCTCACAAGCCCTCGCCCTCAAAGCGGGTAGGGTTTAATAGTTTAAGCCGTGAGCAAGTTCACGCTAGATGTGTAAATGAGTCAAATTTTATCGAGTTGAACGTATGTTTGAATCAGTTATATTTTGTTTTATTTGGAATTGACTTTTGTTTGAAATGATTCGTTGGCAATATATCCATGTTCGACTCGAAAGAATATTTATATTTGTTTTCATTCTTGTTCAGCTCAAAACATGTTTAAATTAATTATAAAATTAAATGTAAGGTGCCAAATTCAAACATGCACTTTTCCAATCTAATATAGGAGGACAATTTAAAATTAGATAACTGTATAACATATTACTATATATATAATTTTTATTCTAAGCTAAAATGATCCAAACAAGTTCGAATAAATGGTTGTTCGTGCTAAGTTCATTTATAATTTGAGCTTAAACAATTTGTAGGTTTTCTACTCATTTACTTAACAAACGATTTAAATTTGAACTCCTTCAATTTGAGCTTAAACAATTTGTAGGTTTTCTACTCATTTACTTAACAAACGATTCAAACATGAACTCCTTCACGAGTCCAATACAACTATACAAGCTATTAGAGAATGAGTTTTTTTTTTTTTTTTTGATAGCCCTACACCCCAATAAATAATTATTTTTATTCTAGGTCCTAATGTTTTTTTTTTCCATACCTACCAACAAATTACTGTGTATTTACATATATAACAACAAAATTTCATCTTTTTTTATATTCATACCACTCAAATGTTTCATATCAGGTACTCTTTTAACTTTAAAAAAGAAAATTTTAAAATACATTTTTTTCATGCATAAATAAGAGCACAGATATGTAAATTTTGAAATTGATGTGTTGGATATGTAAATACATAGAATGCGAAGAGGAATTACACCGCCGATCTTCCTCCCCAACTCTTTAAACTTGATAAGCCTAGTTTTGCAATCCAGAAAGTCGGAGTTACAGGAACCACATACCCTTTCGGCAGAGCTTCTTCCAGCTCCATCGCCGCCATAATCGATGTTCTCGACTCTCGAGCTGTTGCAGGAGATGTCTCGGCAGAGAAAGACGACGCTATGGGCAATGATACGCCGCTAATCCAATGAAGAAGAGAGCGCCATGAGAGTAACATGTCTGCCTTCTTCCTCTTCTTCTTCTTCTGTTGCTCCGACCAGGAACGGAAGCTTTATTTATATTATATAAAGATGAGGAATGGTTAATTTGAAAGATTTTAGTTGCTTCTGTATTCATCAATTAATGTAGAGAGGTTTGATGAAGCTTGAATTTCATCTTCAAAACATTGATTTTGAATTATTTATCTAATTTCATCAGTAATAATAAAAATGTGCAACAGATCAAACTGTTTATTGTTTAAATTGAAGTGTATTTATTATAATTTTTTACAAAAAAAAAAAAAAAAATAGGACAAATCTGAAAACTTGGGAGCATTTACATACATACCACTTACATCTATGTCCTATATATTTACATATCCAACAGCTAAATTTTACTTTTGACACATTTTTACACATGCCAGATGGCATGTATGTAAAAACTAAAGTTTAGGCGTCAAACTCATATATGTAAATGCATAGGGATTGAGTGGTATGTAGGTAAATCTCCCAACTTTAAAATCTGTATTGGTGCAAAGTGTAATAGTGTTATAAGAAGCAAAATCATAAAAAAATTCACCATTAAATCTATTATAAGATAGAACTTCACTTCCAGCAATAGTTGAATGAAAATGCAACATTCAGTTGTTCAGCAGATTCAAATAAGTAATATACACACGCTTTATGAAACATAAAAATAATAGAAAAGAAAAACTGCAAAAAGAACTGACCGAAAAAACTGCATATTATCGGCACAAATGAGGAAGCTTAAAAGAAAAGGAGGATGGCAAATGACCGGTTCTTCGAATATAATCTGCTTTTTCTGCTGTTCTTGCGGCACTCTCATTCAGTTTGGATTCTGCATTGGAACGTTTCTCCTCTGCTATCCTTCTTGTTGCGGCTATTTTGTTGGCCAGTTTCTCCTCTGCTCGAGATTTAAGCCTCTCAGCTTTCACCTATCAATATAAAGGATGATTTACGAATATATCAACTCAATTAGATGCACGAAAATGCTATTTCAGATTTTATAAGTTAAAATATTCAAATTCTGGACGGGGTATGAAAGATTTGGGTTTTAGGATATGTAAATACATAGGAATTGGGTGGTGTATATGTAAATACCCCAATATAAAATGGTGCAATTGCATCAGATGAGGGAGCATTTCATAATAGACAGCAAGATTGATTTGAATCTATGATTGCCTTTCTTTTTGAATTAGGGAACTTTTGTATTGTAGTGGACGATTTGGGCTGCCGGTCATCAACTATTGCTGCTGGGCACCATCATCAGAGACAGCCACCACCTTATTTTATATTCATTACATTTTACTTGAAATCAAACACAAAAAAGTAATGTCATATTTTTGTTTTATGATTAATCAAATATCTCTAAAACATTTCAAATACACTATATTTCAATTCACTATATTTCAATTATGCTGCATTTCTTTTTCAGCAAACTAAACAATCCTTAAGTTTAACTAGAGAGCAATTGAAGTGCAAGATTCTCTCTTAGGAAATAGCTGTTACTATGAATAATATAATAAAGTGTGTGGACTGTTGATTTCTAGGTCGTATCAAAGCCATCATGTGGCAACTAAATATTACTCCATGATCATTTGATAAAATAAATGATGACCCTTTTCATTGTTCTTCGTAGCATGGTTGGTATTATTTTTATTTTTTTGATAAGAGCTTCAACGACCTACATTCATATTGATTCACACCAAGGTGATGTCTGTGAAAGTCATTCACTTTTTAGTGTAAGTCATAGATGTTATGTGAAAATAATGCATAAATGTAGAAATTCATACAACAACAATCAAATACAAAAGATTATGTGGTTCATCGTAAAGTTGATTCGTCTACGTCCGCGGAGAGAGGGATTTCACAGCACTGGATGGGGGAAATAAAAAACGGCTTGGGTTACAATTTCCACACACCTTATTCATACCTCAGGAACCCTAAGTCCCTCTTTTATAGGGGAGGATTAGGGCATATAAGAAAAGTAGAAAAAAAGAAAAGCAAAAAATCTAATTACCCTTAATTATAATAAAGTCATAAAAAACACAACATTCACCTTATCTCTTACTTTCAGATAAGTGAGAGATGAACAAATGAGCACCAAACTCCCATTTAGCTGCACCAAAATAGCTGCCTACATACCCCTCGCGTAGTTCTTTAAAATACCCGACTGAGCAATCAGTCCAGAGCTAGGATGCTCATCAAACTCCTATAATAAGTGAACTTTTGGACTGATAGTAGATTCATGAGCATGTCCGTTGAATTCTCCTTCATATCTATCTTCTTCAACAAAACTTTGTTTTCATCAATCAAGTTCTGAATAAAGTGGTACCTCACATCAATGTGTTTGATGCGAGCATGATGAACTTGATTTGTGACCAAGAATATCGCACTCTGACTTTCACAGAATATTGTCAGAGACGTCTAATCAACTCTCAAGTTATTTAATAGACCCTGCATTAATATTACTTCCTTCATCGCCACCGTGACTGTAATGCACTCAGCCTCCGTAGTAAACAGAGCAACAGTAGAACGAAGAAATGACCTCCTGCCAATATAAATCTATGATTATCCATGTCATGTACGATTGTCCATGCCACTTATATAGTTTGAGTCAGTGTAGCTTGCACATAAATCTGCAATAGATGATTATCTCTCAAACACTAAGCTAACATCAACGGTACCCTTCAGATACCTCAGAAAACATTTCATAGCCTGTCATTATTTCCTTCATGGATCATGCATGAACCTGCTCACAACACCAACTACATTTGCAATATTTGGTCTAGTACAAACCATGACACACATCAGAATGTCCACTGCACTAACATAAATAACATATCACATATCTTTCCTTTCATGATCATATTTAGAACATTGATCTGAATTCAACTGAAAGTGATATGTAATGGGTAGACTCACAAACTTCCTCAAGTCATCAATCCCAAATTTCTTCTGTAACATAAGCTTCTTGTGAAAGATAAACCTTTCCAGCTGCCTTGCCCTTGAGAATCTCTATATCAAGAATTTTGTGAGCTTCACATAAATCCTTCATTTCAAAATGTTTGAACTAATGATTCTTCATCCTATCAGCATTAATCTGACTAGGAGGTGCAATTAACATATCATCGACATATAAAAGCAAGTAAATGAACTCATCGTTGGCAACTTCTTCAAATATGCACAATGATCATACTCGCTTTAACCACATAAATCTAGCTTGCAGGTGCTCGCCATGAGCACAAAAGACGATCTTCAGATTAGACAATGTGGGCGAATACACTTCGGATGCATTTTTGCAAGAGTGTCAGAGAGCTTAGATAGAACATTACTTCACTGTTCGAGAGACACCATAACAGAAAGGGGTGGCAGAGAGGATGAATCGGACTTTGGTGGAGAAAGTTTCGTGTATGTTCTTCGATTTATGGAATCTATTGGGTCGGGACCATAGAATATGCTTGTCACTTGGTGAACTGTTTGTCTTCTGCAACTATTGGGAAGAACTCAAAAAAGATGTGGTCAGGGCATCTTGCTAGAGATTATGAACAAATGAAAGTCATTAGGTGTCTAGCTTGCACGTGCTCGCTCCTTTGATCATTCCTTTCTTCACCAAAGGTTGAAGTGAAGCTGCTTCAGCATAAGCTAGCCACATATGTCACAACATAGTGGTGTCAGAAGAATTATTAGCAAAAACAGACATTCTAGTCACTATACTACCTTGAAGATAATAAAGATTGTGATGGCAAACTCCCTTCATAAAAACCATTGCTTCACAACATTTCCTCAAAACTCATGCTTCAATAATTATCTTGTAGCCTTTGAACTCTAAAACCCTAGCTGACAATAAATTCTTTCTGATATATGAAATATATTTAACATTAGTCAGCTCTCTCACAGTATCATCATGCATCTTGATAAATATACTCTCTACACCAATAATACAATATGTTTGATCATTGCTCATAGTCACTGCACTGCTATCCAATTCCTTGTGTGTATAGAACTACCCTTGATGGGGACAAATGTAATAGGCAGCACCTGTGTCCAGTATGTAACACGAATCATATGTAAAAAAGCTGTGAGAAACTGCAAAAAAATGATACATCTAAATCCACCCCCATATCTTTCCATAATGAGATTAGCTTTCACCTCAGATGCTACTTTCTTTCCCTTCTTCTTCAGCTTCAGACAATCTTTCTTCCAATGATCAGTCTATAAGCATAATGTACACTGATTTTTCCTAGACCACGCTCACGAGCTAGCTCCGCTTTTGAGAACTCACTATTGTCACATTTCTTGCCCAATTATTCTTCTCAGATCTGTCATGTTGGAGTGTAAGTGCCTCAGCTGACTCCATTTTTACGAACTCCTTGTCCCTTCGACAAAACTCGTGATTAAGTCGTAGTCACTTTGTCGTAATTCAAGACATCCTTTCCATGAATGAGTGTCATCATAAAATTTTCGTACTCATCCGGGAGCGAATTCAATAGAAGTCTTGTCTTCATCTCAAATCTTATCATCCAAATTTAATAGATATGCTAACAGTTTTGTGAAATTATTCAAGTGATCATCAATAATAACCCATTATCTAATCTGAAATCTGTAGTCGACGTTCCATATGGGGACGGTTCTCCACGCTCTTCGTGAGATATTTATTTTCCAGCATCCTCCACAATTTCTCTACAGAAGTCTCCATCATCACCACATATTTGATCTCCTAGGTCAAGCAATTTCGGATCAAGTCATAATCACTAATATTCATCTTCAATCAATCTCTCTCTGACATATCTTTAGAACATCTTTGCTATCTAAGAATTTCTCGAGATTCAAAGAACACTGCATCCATCACTTAACATCGCCGCATGTCAAAGTATTTTTTGCCATCAAATTTTAATACATCGATTTTGACAGGTTGTGTAACCATCTGATGAATCTACTTTTCCACCATCATAATGGAAATTGAAGAACCTAACATCATGTTATCATTTATGGTCATCTCTGTTGGAATCTCTTTTCAAAAAAATTCATCCAGCAAGATTCCTAGAAAAAAAAATAACAAATAACTAAAAAAGTTCACCTTATAAAGAAATAAATTTTAGAAAATAAAATTCCCATTTTTTCTCTGAAATTCCTTTTTTTCCATTTTTTTCTGAGAAATTCTCCTTCCATTAAAAAAAAAACCTTATTAAAATAGTTTCTTTTTTTTCTCAATTTCCACACAAAGCTTATACTTCCCAAATTTTTTTTTCTTGATCTTTGTTTCTTAAATAAGGCAAATTCAACTTTCCTTTTTTAAAAACTTCAGAAACTTTTTTTTTCTCTGCTTTGATACCAGGAATAATTTGAGATCTCCTTTCTCTTTGAGAAAAAGTTTCTTTTTCTCTGTTTTTTTTTTTAATATTCCTTTTTAAAAACCTTCCTTTTTTCCTCTGTTGCCACTAACCGAAAGGAAAAAAAAAACTTGCCTTTTGTTCCACGCAATCTCACAGCCTTCCACGTGAGGTATGCCACCTGTTCCATGTCGAACCTCGCCGGAGTTGTCGGACCTTGCCGGAGCCACTAGTTTGTCATTGAAAAAAAAAAAACTCTCCGGATGTCCTCCTCGACCTGTGTCTCTGTCGCCCGGACCGTTGAATCTATTTGCAAAGCACGTTGAATCACGTGCTACAAAACCTGCCAGTAACACCCACAGGATTTGTTGTTGTCGACCTCAAACTATGTTCCAATCACGAACCTGGAGCTCTGATATCAATTGTTATGCAGAAACAATGTGGAAGTGTAGAAATTCACACATCAGCAATTAAATACAAAATATTTACGTGGTTCGGCGTTAAGTCGATCCGCCTACGTACACGTGAAGATGATTTCACTAGTACCAGATGGGAGAAAGAAAGAAAGGCTTGGGTTGCAATTTCCACAAACCTCACTCAAACCTCTAATGAACCCTACGTCTCTTTTTATAGAAGAGGATTAGGGCATATAAGGAAAGGAGAAAAAAAAAACAACACAAAAAAAGCTAATTACCCTTAATTACAATAAACTCATAAAAAACAACCATAGAGTCTTCACATGTATAGAGAGTTTTTGAAGGAAAGGCCACTAGAGTTTGAAACATGGAAGTCAAAAGATACCCTTGCAACAATCGGTGCAAAATTTTTGTTCTTTATACTTTGGGCTAGCTTCGTTGACATTGCAGGTTTGGGCTTTAGTTTTAAGTTTACTTTATCGTTACATAATGTTTATTCAGAACTTGCACAAAGTTAACCCATCCTCAAGTTCTCATTAGTCTTAGCTCCAAATTTCATTTGTATGTTTTCATTTGGGTTGCCTAAGCGCTATGTTTTAATGTTTTCTTTCAAGTTTCTCCTGGGAGACCATCCACGTGTGGATCCTTGCATATTAGTTGAAAATAAAGTGAAGAATCCTAAGATGCTGGGTTCAAACACTCACCCTGATATTAAAAAACTCTTTGTTGAGATTGCAAACACGCTTCGCTGTAGATTTTTAGAAAGGTGAGGAAGATGAGGGAAAAGGAAGGATTGAGTGATTTAAGGGAAGTGAAATTTAAGAAAGGAGCTAGAAATGGAAAATAAAGATTGAAACGTGAAATGGTGAGATGCAAAGAGGTGAGGAAGAATGGACTGAGGGCTGGGTTTAAATAGGCAAATCAGTCATCATACTTATTATAAATAAATAAATAAATTCAGTCAAAGAATGTCTGAAAAAAGATTGAAGTTGCTTTTAAAAAAGAAGTTAATGTCTTCAAAGCATCAACAAGCATGACATTAACATATTGGAAATTCGAATAAGAAAAATATATGGAAATACTTCTTATCATCTGGATATTGCATAGGTCTGAAATAACAATAGTTGCATTGGATTCAAGTTAAGGTGTTTGGGCAAGCGCAGAATTTCCCAGCTGTTTTTATTATAATTCATATGGGAAATGAGCATAGCTTCCTCCGAAGAAAAAAAAAAGGGGGTTGATGGCTTTAAAGCATCAACAAGATAATGATAAAATGAGTGCCCGTTACCTTAAATTTATCAAGGCTGAAATGACAAAAGCTACATTGGATTCCATTAGGTCCTCCAACATGCACAATTTTAACAGGATTATTCAACTTTAAAATGAAGCTACATTGCAACGCCATAGAAATGATACATACCTTTACTTCATGATCATACTCGTATATGTATTCCTAATTGGGTATATTTACAATAATAATGATGATTGTTGATTATGAGCTCAACATAGCAAATTTTCCCTCTAATTTTTTTGCTTCTTTGCTTTCTTATAGCTAACATCAAACATAATCCCTCTGAAAAAAAAAATAATAAAGAGTGCAACAGCAATATAAAAAGTTAAAGCTTGAGTTTAAATCATTACAAATAGAAGTTGTTAAATATATGTTATAAATAGCAACTTGATACCTCAATCTTCTTCATCTCCATTTCAGCCTTTCTTCTTTCATGATTTTCCCAAGCTTGTATCTTCACCTCTTCACGCTTGAACCTGCAATTAGTCTAGTAAGTCAAAAAAACTCTTGATTTTCTGGCACAAAAGAATAAAAGAACAGCTAAAGAAAGGTTATTAGTAAGGATAGCTTACGAATAGGAAATATTTTAATCATTGTAAGCATTCAATTAATATAATAATGGAAGCAAAGCACCAAAACTTCAGGATTGTTTGCAATCTTTTTTTTGTTTTCTTTCGTATTTAGAAATAGATGGGAAATTTGCATACATGGCACATAGTTCTTATGTATCTAAATAGGCCAATGACTACCTTGCCATGTATTTTGTTCGCTCTGCCTCATCCCATGCCATTGCTCTAGATTCTAGAGAACTCGAGTTTTTGATCTGCTCCAAATCACCCGCCACCTTCCTCGCAGCAGCAGTCCCATCCCTGTTTACAGCCCACCCATTCCCACTGGTTGTGCCAAAAAGCACTGTTTCATTCTTCCTCGCTAAATTCCTCACCCCTGTTTGGAAACTTTCAAAGGAATTTCCCCCTTGACGATACCTTCCGGGGGATGAAGATCTGGAAGAAATGGGACTTGTTAACACCGGCGTCGTTGCTCGGATCGGAGTAGCAGTCCTGGAAGGGTCTTGGCTTGTTATGGGAGTCATCTCCGTGCCAAAATCTCTCAAAGAAACTGCCTTGACTTCTATCTGTGAATTCTCCATAGGCTTATTGATCCTCCAAATTAAATCACTGCAGTCTATCTTCTTAGTCTCCCCCTCATCTTGAACACAATTTCGCAGGGCTAGATCTTCTTCCAAGCCCAGATCAGCACTGCTACAAGAATCCCTGCCCCTCTGAGATGCAGACTGCAGAAGTCTCCTGTCTTCTGCATTCGAATTCCGAGGCTTGCACTTGGAGTGACGATCATTTCCTCCACTGGAGAAACCAGCCAGCCATTTTTGAGCATCATCCCATTTTGATGGAGTTGGCTTAGTGCGAGAACCTAAAGTTTTGCTATGATGAGATCCCTTATCCGTGCTCTTCCCGTTCTGGCTTTCAAAACTTTCTGAAGCACTATCTTCCATTGAAGATGAATGCTTGCAACAAGTTTTCTTATCCATAGCCACAGATCTCTTTTTCTACAATTAGTAGTTCCAAGTGATGGCAAGTACACTATCAAAAACAAGCTGGTCTTCCTAATTTTGTATTCTAAAAGATAAAAATTAAGGATCTAAAACTGGCTGAGTTCACTCCTGTTCTTTGCAATGGCAAACAGAGATGGCTACGATCAAGTCAGGAGATGGAGAATAAATAATAGTCAACAAATAAGAATTCAATCAATTCAGAAAGAAGCATACCCCATTCATCTGATTCATGAAAGGTAGAACCTGAAATACCAGTTGGGTCCCTATCCTCTTCTGCGCCACTTTTCCTCCCACTTATCCCCTACAACAAGAGAAACCTATGACCCAACAGAGATGAAATAAGAGAGATAGAAGCCTTTCCTATTCCTCGGTCCAAGCTTGCCACTTTACTGTTCCCTCGTCCCTTCTCAGATCGTCCACTTTCACATGATCCGACCAATGAATTAAACCAAAAAAACAAAAGAGTTGATGAGAGGAACATAAAACCCACGTGGGCTTTGGAATGAGGCTTACAGTTGGAGAAAAGAAAAGACAGATCATAAGGTCGGAGAGAGGAGAGGGGGAAAGAAAGCTGTCAAGATCTAATACCCATCTCCATATCTCATATCTAGCCAAGCAATGCCATGTGTGCTGAAGAAATAAAAAAATTGTGCAAACAGAAACAGAGCATGGATCCACAAGAGGTATGAAAAATGGAATAATCCAACGTTGGAAACGGCAACCCTTCACTTCCATGAACATGATCATTAACGGGAGAATCTTTGGAAATCGTGCAATAGGGTGCACTCCCCCTGCACTACTTGTAAAGAGGGCACAGCAGTGCCATTAAATAACACAGTGTGGCAGTCTAGAGTTCAGGGGAATCTCGGTGAGGGTAGCCCATCGGTGAGTGAGAGAGATATCGCCATTAAGGCAGCACATGATGGAGAAAGGAGAGCAGAGAATTGAATAACTGTGTTCACCGTAGGTGAGAGTCGGGAAGTAAAATTTTTAAAAAGTGACGAAGATTTTAACGGCTACAGTCGTGTCCTCAAGGTTCTTGCTGGTAGCCGTTAAGCTGCCCGGGAAATAAAATCGCAAAGAGAGAGTAGGGGCGTTACAGTGAAGACAATTAAGGTAATTCCCAAATATTTTGTTTTAAAAATTCCCCCCAAAAAAAAGGACAATTAAGGTGGCAGGCCTTCACGTGGGAGTATAAGGGGCGGTGAAACCATTTGTACGTTTTTCAAGTAAAAAAAGACTAAAAAGTTTCACCATTGGTTATGAACATGGAACTGATAAAATGAATCATTGAACACAACATTATTTGTACTTAAATTTAGTTATTTTTAAATTTAGTTATTTTTTCCTTTTAAGTTAAAATATTAAATTTTAATAATCTTTCAGTGACATGTCATTAAAAAATAAGGAAGATTTACATACATGCCACTCAATTCCTATGCGTCCTAGACTTTAAATTTTACATACAAGCCTCATTATTCATGCATAAAAAAGTGTATTTCATTTTTTTTAAGTCAAAATGATGTTATTTTTTATGTGAAATAAAGCATATGATAATATAAACGTAAAAGTAAGGTTAGGGTGTCAGATATGCAAATGTATAGGAATTTGGTGGTATGTATGTGTATAAAGAAAATGTGCCTGGTGCCTGGTGTCTGATGATGATCCTAGATCAGGCACATTTTGAAAGATCCAAACAAGATGAGAATACCTAAGATGAGAAAAAACAAACCAAATGATAAGTGGAAGAAAATCACAAATTTAATGACTCAAGGTTTAATTTGTAAGGATACCCATCCACGTATAATTTTAGTTCTAGTTGTGTCAAAAGATGATGAATACTTATTTTATCAGGATGTGTTTTAGAATATCGACCCAAGCATAATTGACTCTGATATATTACAATATTTCCACCACTTTCAACATGACCAATCTGTCACTATACTACCAGGAGCCAGAAACTTCGATAAATGAAGTTGAAACTCCTCCAACCTAAGAGATAAATGCTGGAGCTTCCCACAGTGATATTTTTGTGATCCCTGCTACAATATCGCTGATTTCTGTGGGAAATTTCGGCTTGGACCAGTCAAGGTGAGTCGGTGGACCCTTCATTTACATGGATTTCCCTCTTAATGAGAGTGGGGTCCATTCTTATTTATCCTAGGTTTATAAGTATCTTGTTTTTGTGTTTTAGATCAGTTTTTTGTATTAGGATAGCCGTTGGTGTCTCTTCATCCCTTCCAGGGTTGTATCCTAGGATTTCAGGTGGTGTTTCGGTTGTATCTTGGTCTTCATATGGTGATTAACTTCTCTATCCCCTTTTGCATCCGCCCCATGTCACTCCCGACCGCCCTCCATTGTTGCAGCCGCCCCCGAACAGTGCTTATTTGTTGCTTTCACGGTAGTTTTCTGATTCCAGCTGTCTATCCAAGCTATCGCCACCCCGTACAACTATCCTCTTGTTATCTTCCATTCCCCTGCATCCTCCGTCACTGTTGCCATCATTCCGTCTTCGTTACTGATGTGATTCCAGCCCTCCCTATTATTGCCATCACTGTTCCAGCCATTCCAGCACCATCCACCTCCTTTCAGCCTTCCACCTCGATGTTGATGCCCTGTAAACCCCTCACATTGCTATCTACCATTGTGCAGCCATCGCAACACCTTAATCCAGCTTTTCCAGTCATCCTACGTTGTTGTTTGTTGACCTCATTTTTAGTGAAGTCTTAGTTTCCTACTCCCAGAACTCAAAATCTAGCCCTAAGAGTTCCTTGTTGACCATCTTAGCAGACTAGTAATGAAGCTCACCTCCTGTAGAACTTCAAACTACTTCTTGACTCATTTTTGTGAAGAACTTGCATGAGTGGTTTCAAACACTCAACTTCTAGTCACAAGGGATAAGGACCAACATGTAAAGGACCTGAAAATGAGTTTCTACAGGATCAGACGGCCTTAGGTGAACCCTCCATGACTCGAACACTCGCAAACGCCGCACTTCACTTACTCACTACACCACGTACGAAGTTGACACATTTTTGGCCCAACCGTCAGCAAACTTGTCCGGACGACCTCGAATGACGAAACAGACCACACAGATGAATCTGAGACATCAACTTCAGCTAGGGAGGACACTCATATCACTAAGGTTATGCACTTGCACAAACGACACGAAAATCGATGCACCTTTTTAAAATTAGTGTGGCGCGGGCCCAGATTCAGCCCAGGTTAAACTCGAGTTTAACTTGGGTTGGATATGAGCTGAACACGGGCTAATTGACTCAGCTTATATTATTTTAAACTTCAAATTTTAAATTTCAAATTTTAAATTTCAAAATTTTCATTTAATCCCCCCCATTAAGCTTTTACAATTAAGGCTCTGTTTGGGGCGGCTTTTCTCACGCGGCGCGTCAACAAATCGCGAAAAGTTACTGTTTGGCTTCCGGCTTCGCGACAGAAGGACGTCAAAGCGGGCAAAAAGCGGGCCGCAGGATCGACCCCGCGGCCCCAGCTTTCGCCCGCTAAATATTTGCGATTGTCGCCTCTGCCCTACCCTAGCCTTTTTTTTCCCACGCAGTCTCGCCTCTCGCCTTCGACCAGGACCGCGCCCTCTCCTCTTTCACCTTCGACCAGCCCTCTCGCATCTTGCCTTCGACAAGGTAATCGATCTTTTTTCGTCTTCTCTTGTTTTCTTAAAAGGTAATCGATGAAAATATGGAGTTCATTGCGATCTCCTCTCATTCATTTTGCGATCACTTGTTCTTTCAATCTCCTGCAGTGCAAGCCTCTCAAGATGAAAATCTGCATATTTGATTTTCATCGTTGGAGGGGCTTTTCATTTATTTTCTGCAATTTTCTTTTTTTTTTTTCTGCTGTGCAAAATGGAGGTAAAATGCAGATTTGATCTCCAATCTGAAATACATCACTATCTTTTCTTTTCTCTTATTAGGAGTAGGTCTTATTCCATGTTCCTGAATGGATTTATGATTGAGACCTGTAACTATGTGAATCTTATAGTTACTCCACTTCTATAAGTGAAAAACTGACAACTTTAACAGTGGCAAAAATGGTGTGCAATTTCTGTTTATTTTTCATCTGTCCAACTTGATTTTTAACACTTTCATGGTTATTAAAATCTTACCTTCCGTTAAGAGCATTAATCACATTACCCTTCAGGGGGGGATTACTTTTTCTCTGATAGTATCGACACATAAAAAAAGGGTTTATTTTAGTTTTGTTTTATGTATTTAGAAGTTTGTTCATTAGATTATATTATCTGGATTCTTTTTCCAGGTTTTAGTTCGAATTATCTATGATTAGGTTTGATTTCAGATTTTTTTGATCTTATATTTGTATCACATTTTTCTATCAATAAGGATCCATAACCATTTTCTATCAGTAATGATATGTAAACACATAGGAATTGGGTGGCATGTTATACATATTGATAAGAAGGATATGGTTGGTATTAATATAAAAAAAAAATCAAACTTTTGGTGGTAGATATGTAAACACATAGGAATTGGGTGGCATGTTGTACATAATTACTATACAAAATGATGGTATTTTTGAATGGAAACCATTTACTTGGTTGCTATAAGAATTCCAAGCAAACCAAAGCAAATATATAAGAATTCGGTGCCATATCATGTTACAAAGGTACTCCAATGTAAGCAGGCAAAAACTAATATAAATTGAAACTTATATAAAGGAGAAATGGAAAAAACAAGCCATCTAAATGTATTTTGGCTAGGCTAACAACAGCGGTATGATTGTAAATTCCATTGGAATGCAAAGGTTTATGTGTTTCCATCATTGGAGGTGCTAAATATTAAGGGATTACAAGTATTGGAGGATTGGTTTGATGGAGCAAGTGCAGCAGTAAATGATAGTTTCTTTCCTTGCTTAACAGAACTCTTCCTCGATAACTTGCATAATTTTGTTGGAGTTGCCCTATTTGCCTCCTAATCTCAAGAAAATGAAGATACAAAACATCGGGTAGAAGGCTGTTTTGAACTGCAAGTTATTTTTTTGCTTTGGTTTGCTTTGAAGTACAAAACATCAGTCGATATAGCACCGAATTCTTATATATTTGCTTTGGTTTGCTTGGAATTCTTATAGCATAATTCTTATAGCAGAATATAGCTTCTTTATTGTGTGGTATGTATGTATAGCAGAATATATACATTATTATTTATATATTTTGTTGGAGTTGCCCTATTTGTCTCCTAAGCTCAAGAAAATGAAGATACAAAACATCGGGTAGAAAGCTGTTTTGAACTGCAAGTTATTTTTTTGCTTTGGTTTGCTTTAAAGTACAAAACATCAGTTGATATAGCACTAAATTTTTATATTTTCGCTTTGGTTTGCTTGGAATTCTTATAGCAGAATTGTATGAGCAGAATTCTAGCCATTGCATGCTTATTTGAAATTTAAAAATTCTAGCCATTAAAGATTGCTGCCAGGAATCATTAACATGGTATGAAGGTTTGAGAGGTTTTGCAATTAGCCAATTTATGCTTAATATTATACAACTTGCAGGTTTTGTAGTTTACTGATTTTGGTCGTTTGCTCTCTATAGAATGAGCTTTCTACTTATAAAACATACATTGCAACAAGTGAGCTTCTTTGCAACATAAGAGTTGAATGAAGTATGCATTAGCTTATAAATATTGTGCTTCTTATACATCTTATACTTCTTACACTTCTTATGTAGCTAATGCAGGTTTGGTAGTTTCCTGAGTGATAAAGTTTTGTTTCCTATAAGCATATTTTGCAAGGTTGGTGGAATTTGAAGAGGACGTGTTTGCCT